TTTATCTAGATAAAAATAATTTGTCCGAAATAGATTAGACACGAACCAACTCATAAATTTTGTACGCGTGTTCGTGGCTTGGATAAATATTTTCCGCGAATACGGCGACAGATGTCAGTTTTGTGCTTTGATCAGAAATTTATTTGTAATTTGTATGATCATTCATGTCGGTTTGTCGGTGGTAAAACCACTGCGTCCATTCTTTGAACTTTTGTGGTACCCCTATTTGCTGTTTGTATCATGCAAACCTACCACTATTTAACGAGTAGACGGCTAATTGTCTGGACACATCTTTTCCCAGTCCGGTATAATATGGCTTACCAACTACCTTTCCAGGATTTGCAAACCAAATTTCACTACGCTTGTGTAATGCACCACAACTGCAGAGCAGATGTTCCGAGGTTTCACGTTCCAAATTACAAAAACGACAGATAGGTATCACTCTGAACCCGACCAATGTTCTTCATCTGATATCTACTAAGACAGTGCCCAGTTACTAGGCCTTTGTATATACTAAGAGTTCTTTTATTGAGCTCTAAGAGCTTTTTGGTGTATGTTGTATTAGGAGTTATAAATCTTTTCGGCTGGTTGCAGTTTGTAACAATCATCCAATCGGTCATCACCCTTTGCTCTTCCCAGCATTTGAGTGTCATTTTTACCGCACAGTATGATATTCCACAGTATGTTTCTGGGCCAAAAAATTGTGAATTGGAACCTAACTTTGCTAGGTCGTCTGCCCTTTCATTCCCTTCAATGCCACAGTATCCTGGTGCCCAATATAAGTTTACTGAGTTCCGTTGGCACAGTTGCCGAAGCGAGAGAATACATTCCCAGATGATCTTTGATGTACATTTGTAAGCACTCAGTGCTTTCTGCGCTGCACGACTATCAGAAAAAATACAAATATTTGCACATCTGTATTTCCTCCTCAGACAAACATGCACATGATACGATCTTACTAAGGCTCTAAAGGCCCACGCACATTGGATCCGGATCGGACGCGTTGTGGCAAAGTGACAGCTAAATCTATTGTCTAACTGTCAAATTTACGTCAACGCAACGCAAAAGGATCTAATGTGGGTGGCCCTTAAGACATCACGCAAAATCATGTAGGCCACAAACCTTTGCATAAATGGTATTTAAGTGTGTCTTTTTCGCAGTTGAATCTCGCCATAGTTACTGGCATAACTAAGAAAAAATCCCCCTCGGTCAAATTGATTTTTCAAACTTCTCAATTAGACAATTAGCGAAGAATGGATGCGATGTGCAAGGAAAATAAGTAATTGTATTAACAATTCTTGGAGGGCTATAGCCACCCCCCCAGTCCCCTCATAGTAACGCCAATGGCCATAGTATCTCATGGACACTTAACTGAGCTACTGACCGATGACAAACAAACCCGACCCGCCAGGGTGTCGACTCAATGAAGATAACCCAATTCCCTGATATTCCCATTTTTTTCCAGTTGATTAAAAAAAAATCAGGTACAGTACCAATTCGTTTTTCGCAGCACTTATCAGATATTGCTTTCTTCAGATATGTACTAAAGGGTGTTCATAGTTAAATTGCATCAATTAGAAGTACTCGTCAAAAATAAGTCTCTCAACCGATTGTCATGAAAGTTTCAGGGAATGTAATACCAACCGATGGAAACTAACGATTTGAAATTGGCTCACTACTTGACTAGCCTATTGGTCCCAAGCAAATCGATCAACGTATCCCATTCTAGTAGAAATTCTAGTACTAAACTAAGATTTCTTTGCCAGTTAGTCGTCTGTCACTTCGTTTGTGGCAGTACGGAGCACTTTTTCTTGCACTCACTTGCTTTCGATCGACAGTTAAAAGTTCTCCGAGACTTTTTATGAGACTAAAAACTGTAGATTGTTGGATTACCCACATCTTTCCGATGGTTCGGTGCAAAAGATTGTTGGGGTGAGTGTGCAACATTTTCTCGTTTTGATCATAAACTGTACCTGTGGGCAACATTTCATTCCATTTTGAGCACCTTCGGCCCAAATCTGTCCATAATTAAAATAATCCCCAAAATTATCCTAAAGTGGTTCTCTGAAGCTCTGAAATAAATGGAAATGACCGAACAGTCTTAAAACTGGACTTCCCTTAAAGTATAGATGTCTTGATTTTTTTTTGAAACTTGTCCTAAAAAATGATTAAACTTCCAGAAGGTCTGGACTTTCCTAAAATTCTTGGAATATTCCTGAAGTTATTGGAACTGCCCTTGAAAACTGTGAGCTTCTTTGATGATCTCAAACCGAGCTCAACTTTTAAACTTTTTTAATTTTTTTACATTTTTCCTCCAGTTCTTTGGAAATTACTGAAGTTTTCTTGACTTCCTGGAAGTGCTTGACTCCCTGAAGTTCTTTGAAATTTTTAAAGCTGCTGCGGTTTCCTGATGCTAATGGAACCACCTTGATGTTCTTGAAGCTCCTTCGAAGAGCTCGAAACTTTTCCAGAAACTATGGAAACTTTCTTCTGAGAAATTTTCGGAGCTTCCTTTAATTTTTCAGAACTTAAATAAAGTTCCTTTAATTTTCGAGAAGTTGAAAAACTGCACAATCTAATCTATACTGTAGGGCTTTCCCTGCAGTTCACACACATTTTCTGATATTCTCGGAACTGTACTGAAGTTCTCAGAATTACCCAGAAGTTCACGTAACTTGCTTTAAGATCTTCATACTTCCCTTAAGTTGGTAAAGAATGTTTCAAGCTCTTTGCAAGCAGCAGCTTAAGTGTCACTCTCAGAATCGAGAGGCTGCTGATGCTGATCAGGAGACCTGGTTAGAGGCTCTTTTCAGGGTGGGTTAATAATGCCTAAACACTGATCCCAATTAGCGTTTACGAGGGTCGATTGAATTCACTTTAATACTAGGGAAGTAAAGCCCTCTGTGCCCGGTCCATGAGTTGATGGGTCGATAGGTAGGGTAAAGGTGTAGGAGCTGTCTCCCTGGCGTCGGTAGCATTGGTACGGAAAACAAGATCGACGGAAAACAAATCAAAGAAAAAAAAACTAATTGAAATTTAAAAATAACGAGACGAAAACAATTCAGCAAACGCAAGAGAAAATTTGTATATTAAACACTGTCACCCAAAGTGCAGGAATCAACTCTCCAAATCGATAAAATGAACTACATAGCTTTAGAGGAAAGTTCAACTACTTGAAAATTAATTGTATTGAAGTTGGGATTGTAATCTTCTCTTAAATCTATGGCGACGTCACAACTATTTACAGAGAGTTCTTCGAGCTCATATTTACAGAAAAAGTGGTTCTGACCTTGATTCGGTGGGTCCAAAAAGGGGCGTTTACTTATGGTGTGGATGTGGATGTGGATGTCAGCAGGCAAGGCCACACAAACATACAGTGGCACGGCAAGGGTCCAATTCGTTTCGTGGACCGTCCAAACAGTGATCAGGTCCCGTAGAGGGTTCTAAACGGACCAACGACACTGGTACATCATCCAGCACGTGTTCAAGCAGTTGATGCGTAATAGCCGAGGCTCACGGCAGGTCGGACAAATCGCTATCCAAGACGCACACACCGCGTCGAACCGTTTGGCCGATGTCGACACAAGGAATTCGAACCGAACGAACGATGAGCTTTCTTTTTCGCAGTTCCAACGACAACTACGCTTGGTGCCACAAGCTTTCGAGGCAGGTGACGGATGCCTCAAACGATCAACCAGGGAATCGGACGTCGTTGGGTGGCTGGAGCGTCGGTATGGTCTCACGCCGGTGAGAAACGCTTCGTGTCGTGTTCGCAAGGCAGGTTCGATTCAGCTCGCAGGCTTACAAGCCCCAACCCACGTTGAACAGTGGATTAAATCAGTCCAACATGCGCATAAAGAAACAACAAAGAACTTCCGCAAAAGCTTTTCATCAATCTCTCAACCTGCCGAGAGATGGCAAAAGTTGCTGCAGAAAAGGTTAAAACTTTTTAACGAACGAGAAGCTTCATAGCTAGTAAAGAAGTATTCACAGTGTGGTTACAAGTTTTGGAAACTTCTGTAAAGTTCCTGCAATTTTCCTAAGCTCAATGGAACTGCCCTGAAGATCTCCAAAGAGCATGTGATGAACTAGCCTACGGCTAAAAATCACGAAAATAAAAAAAAAAAAAAATCACAAAAGTTCTAGACATTTTCCTGAAATCTATGGACCAGCACTCAAATTATTGGAACTTACCGTTTAAGGTCATTTAACATCTCTGAAGCACTTCAGGCAATCTTAAAAATCTTGGAACTACTCTGAAGTTTTTGAATCTTATTTCAAGCTGAACAATGCATTAAGGCCTAAGTAACATTGACAGATTCTCTTCGTCGACTTTCTCTTTGCATCCTCACGACCGTGTTACTAAATTTCCAGCTATTTGCTACACACAGATCGATGAAGGAATCTATTATCTACCATCTAATATGACAAACACGAGAATAAACGGTTCTGTACCCAAGTTATTAACTTTTTCTTTTATATTTTTAGAACGCATATACATTTCACACAATGTCACAAATCCTATATATGCTCTGAAGTGCTAAGAAGTATTTTAAAGTTCTCTGATCACTCCTCAAGATCTTTAAACATACCTGAAGCTATCTGAACTTCCATGAATTGAAACTTCTGTAAAGTTCTTGCAAATTTTTTTGAAACTCATGGAACTGTCCTGGAGTTCTTGAAACTTACATTTGAAGATTTTTAAACATCCCCAGGGTTCTAGACTTTCTTGAAGTTCTCGGTACATTCCTGAAGTTTTCGATTTCTTTTTCAGAAAGTTTCAAAGCTTAAATGTTTGTATTATGTTTTTCACACAGGTACTTTTCACATAGTAGCTTCAATCTAGGGAAAGTGTACCAGTTATGGCACTAGTAGTCCTCTAAAATAGCCTCTACGAAGAAATCAAAAGTGTTGACAGAGTTTCTACCTGGCCCCGGCGAATGCACACAATCCCCAGGTATGGAAATCTTTCACGTTGATATGTTATAAAAAAAGATTATGAGACGTACGAGAAAAGATGCTAGACCAGCAAATGATGTACCCCATTTATTTTAATAACTCTAGATAATTGCAATAGTTTGAATTAAACACTACAAGCTTCAAAAATACAAAATAAAACTATTTCCATCCCATCACAAAATTATGCGTTAACTTAATTCAGCGTGAATTGTTCCACCGAGTTGCCGGCTAGCTTGTAGATCTGATCCGGTGTCGATGGTGCTCCGAGCGAAACCCACTCACTCGGCATGCCGGCATCTTTACGGGCAGCCATTAGAGCGTTTCGCAGAGCAAAAATAATCGAAATCGTCATATTCATCGCCGGTTCTCCGGTCGCTTTCGATCGTAACACCCCGGTCGCATTGGAGCTGTTTTGCAGGAATCGGATGCGGAAATCCACGGGAATATCCTTGGCACCCGGAGGTTTGTAGGTCCAAGTTCGGTTCGTCAGTAGAGCGCCGTTTTCAGGATCAAAAACGAGAGCCTCGGTTAGGTAGTAGCCCAGTCCCATGATGAATGACCCTTCAATTTGACCAACGTCGATTCCAGGACTCAAGCTTTCGCCGACATCCTCAACGATATCAACCCGAAGCAGCTGGACATTTCCGGTTAGGATGTCAACCTCCACTTCCGAGCAGCTCAGACCCCAGATAATGTACGGAACCAGGTCCGATGCCTTGTACATGTAGGTTGCGCAGAGATCGACACTTTTGTTGTGGCATTTCATCACAAGAGTTTCCCATGAATCCTCCTTGTTCTCCTCACGAACCGGGTTCATGCGTTCCAGGATAATTTCGCAAGCACGTTTCGCAGCCTGTAATTTTAATGGATTTTCACAATTTGTAAGAAAATCGGTTTGAATAATTAATACTTACGTAAGCCACAGTTTCACTGGTCATACTACCACCAGTGCAAATAGCATTTGGAGAAGTGAGGTTATTCGTAGGTTTGATTATGACTTTCTCCAAAGCAATACCCAGGATGTGAGCTACGACTTGAGCAACCTTGGTATTCATGCCTTGGCCCATTTCTATGCCACCGTGTGAGACGGAGACTGTTCCGTCGTCGTGGTAAACAGAAACGATGGCGCTCAACTGTCCAAAGTAACCCAAGGGATATCTCATCGGAACGATTGCGATTCCACGCTTGCGCCAGCGATTTTCTTCGTTAAACTTATCGATGTGCTTCCTACGGGCATCGTAATCAACATCTGCGCGGAATTGAGGCATCAGCTCAAGCATCTTTATGTCCTCTGGCATGTTGGCCATACGAACCTCCAGTGGGTCCTTACCAGTGGCAAAAGCAATGTGCTCCATTATCGTTTCGATCATAGCAATGCCTTCGGTTGTACCAGGAGCACGACACCACGTATTGCTAGCGCAGTCCGTCCGGGCCCCTTTTGCTACGGTTTTGAAGACGCTCTTGTCGTAGCAATTACTGAAAAACTGTCCGGCATGCCCCATGGATTCGTTGAAAGTTGATCCAAAATCGTGTACGTATTCGTTATACAGCTTTACAATTTTTCCGTTCTTATCTACATCCACATCGTAGTCGGAAATGACCGGATAGCGCTTGCCAATAGCTTCCATGTTGGCTTCCAGGGTCATGACAAAACGAACTGGTCTCTTGGTGAAATGTGCGGCCAAGGCACAAGCGCATGCGACCATGGTGGCACGAGTTCCTTTGCCTCCATAAGCTCCGCCAAGTCTGCGAACGTACAAATTCAGGCTGTTCTGTGGAATCTTCAACATTCTAGCGATAGCCATCTGAGTTAAGTCAACCCACTGGGTAGACGAGTATACGTCCATACCGTCCTCGATAGGAATGCAGACACACGTTTGTGTTTCCATGTAGTAGTGATATTGACCTCCAATTTCGAAGTGTCCTTTGACCTTCACATCTCCTCCGGAGGCCTTGTCGAAGTTTTCCCCATGGGTGCCGTAGCTCATTTCCTCGATGCGATCGGTAGCCTTCGCTTGTAGAACATCTTGTGCCGTTGGGTACAGTCTGGCTACTTGCCGTTTTCCATAGGTGACCTTGACGGCTTTGATAGCTCGGTTTGCCAGGGCAAAGGTATCCGCGACGATCATACCGATTGGTTGTCCGTGGTATTCGACTTTATCCGCACAGAATATGGGTTCCACTTCTTTGCCCATCCACTCTTGGAAATACATGAAGTTATTGGCTCCAGGGATGTCCTTTGCGGAGAAAAATGAAACTACGCCAGGGATTTTCTGGAATAGGGAGAACAATAGCCAATTATGCCAAGCTTCCGGAATGCATAAGGTTTAACTTACCAGGGCTTCCGAAGCATCGATATTCTCAATGATAGCTTGAGCTTCCGTGGCCAAGACGTACGCTGCGTACAGTTCATTCGGCAAGGCTGGAAAGTCGTTGGCGTACTTGGCCTCGCCGGAAGTTTGAGCCAAGCCTTCGATCTTGGGAATGTTCTTCGTGAGTGGATAGTTTTCCTTAACGGTGTCGAAGCGCTGTGAGGCAGTGGATACCGGCCGATTGAGGACGGTGCCGCCAGATTTGAATGTAGACTTGAGCGCTACTTTTCCGTCGGAAGCGATGTTTAAGACGAACTTGTAGAACAGGGAGACGGCTAGGTTTTTACGGTATTCCGGAGAGGCGTCCGGTAGAACCCAATCCGGATTGAGTTCAGCCGATAAGGTTTTTAGAGCCGTTTGGATGGTTTCGTTGGTAAAAATGTTCTTTCCAACGAGGTATTTTTCGGTTGCGGTTGCATGGGTAAACTATTGAGTCGTAGAAGACGGTAATGGTTAGGACAGAAGCATGGGGTTAGTTTTTGTAGGACTTACACTAGGGTTGATGCCACCGAAACAAACGGACGCAGAGTTTATGGTGGTTCTGCTCTCGTTGAACTTGACGAGGAAAGCTCCGTTGACGTAGGCGTGAGCATTCTGAGCTCTCGGCATAATCTTGAAGGAACGGAATACGTAGGTCTTTGGATCGAGAGGTGGAATGGTGACGTTCAAAACTAGCTTCTTATGCATGTTGAAGTTGACGAATTCTGAAGGAGCTACGGTGCTGGTTTTGCCACCGGATTCCACTAAAATCAAATAGGCTAGTTATATTTAAAAAATATATCGAATAGTTTTTACGTACTGATCGTCAAAGTGGCCCCAACAGCCTCCAGAATCAGGTATAAATCAGATGGAAACTCCTTGTGCTGGTTCTTGATGCTTAGATTTCCGGCAATAGTTCCGGTATTGCGCACGGGAACGTTGGCAATCAGGTCGATATGCTTGACAAGTTCCGTAAAGTGCGTAAAGTTAGAATTCTTGCTGGCTGCGTTGGACAGAATACTCATCAGTTCAGTCAACGATACGTTAGCTCCGACGATCAAATTGCTTCCAAGTGAGTGCGAACGAAGTTCCTCGATGGAACTGACGTCGATGAATACCTGTAGTTTGTCGCATCTACGGTAGACTCCTGCGAATGATCGTTAAGATAGATGATAAGAAAATTTAAGTTATTTTCGTTCTACGTACCATGAGCTGTGTTGCCAGCAACCAACATGTAAGGCTTCGTTCCGATCTTTTCAAAAATTGCGAACACATCGCTAATGTTGTATACCTTGTGCCATTCCTTGTCTTCAGCGAAACTCATATGAACGCCCTTCTTTTCGTTAACCTTTCCAGCGGCAGAGCATTTGCCGCCGCAAGCACTTCCGGTTTTGGGACAAATCTTGGTCAAATCTTCAATGTCCATGCAAACCTGTTTCAACCTAGGTTCCGCATCATATGCCAGTGACTTGAAGGCGTCCAGAATTGGTCTATAGCCGGTGCATCGGCAAATGTTGCCTCCGAAGGCATTCTCGACCTCGGCCATCGATACCTGACCTTTTTTCGACTCCAACAGGCTGTACATGTTCATGACCATTCCCGGCGAGCAGTATCCGCATTGCGTACCATTGAAGTGCGCCAGAACTTTCTGCGTTGCATGGTAGCCATCTTGTTTGTCACCGATTCCTTCAACGGTTACGATGTCTAGCCCATGGCAGGAAAATACCGGGAACAAGCACTGAAAGCATGTTGGAACGACTAATTGAATTGGACCGATCATAGGTTACGAGGAAATTTTACCGAATTTACAGCCCACGAAGCCTTTTCCTTGGTCACCGGGTGAATTCCGTTTACATTTACAATGCAAGCTCCGCATCCTCCCTCCAAGCACATGAACTTCGTGCCGCTCAGGTGAGCATGGTTGCGGATGAACGTGTTGAGTGATGTATCGATGGGTACGGTCTTGGGATCGGCTGTAATTATTTGCGCATCATTATAGGTAGACAGATCATAGTCGGTTTTTTTTTCACAGATTCCGCAATTACTCATTAAAGCTGTATTTTGTCTAGTCACGTTGTCATGTAGGCATATACAATTGAAATGTGTGCTATCCACTCCTACTGTTTTGATTGCAATGGACACGCCACTGTCGGAAATTACTTAATCGTCGTTTTTGCTCAACGATATTTGTTGGAAGAAACTTCTGCTGATGTGTTTGTTAGTTCCCAGATAAGATAGCACATTTTTGTAAAGGAAACAATTTACTTACGGGACGCAAACACACCATGCTTGTTTTGTGTAATTACACTATTTTTCAATGATAAACATTAATCAAATGACTATTGCTCACTAAATGTAATGACGTTTCGTATCATTTGATTTCAACTATATAATGATTCGTGTGAAACCGTCACATTTTATACGAATTTGAAAATAACATTCACAATTTTCATTCTAAACTTACTAAGTCTGACTAATAATAAGAAATGACACTGCACTTTTCAAAAAGGGTAATAATTGATCACGTATTTCACAACTTACCTGTAAAGCTCTTTCCATTGATGGTAAAAATGGCTTCCATTATTTGCAAATTTCGGCTAGGTACTATCCTTGATTGGAATAGATTAGATTGATAAAATGCTGGTCCAGAGTCGAAACCGTTAACTACTTGATGTTCTCACTACGACTTATCGCGAGCGAGTGTGCAAATTCTAGCCAGTGCCCGCTAATTTAACCGCCGAAATCACGCGTCTACGCGCGGAGCTCAAGTGTCTCATTTGTATTGTTCAGAGCACGGGTGGTGTAAGTGAAGTTTTGACGGGAAGAGCATTTAAGAGTAGCAATATTTAGAAATCACTTGGATGAAGTTTTTGCATTTTGAGATGTCAACAATTGAATTACTTCCTACATACATCGTTGTATTAAGGCAGTGAGTTTGATATCATTGCTCAGCAGAAGTGTTGATGGACTTATTTCCCTCATGGAATGAGCGCCTCATTTGATAAAGTGATTTTAGATTGATTCACATACTACACTAGTATCTATGTACCTAGCGGTGCAGGCAGAGCAGTGTTTGCGATAGCAAATGTAGACAATTCCTAATTTGCGAACAGTATCTGAATGAGTATCTGATTTTTTGTATTGTCATTCTGTAATCGTAATATTATCGATATCATTTAAAGGGTGAAACGAGCAGAAAGTAGTCAACTCAAATTTAGTGAGATTCTGTTTAGCGTGAATTAAAAAAGTATGAAAGTTAGCATGTATGGATTTCATAAAACTGCACGGTTAAAAAAAAACATCATGTTCATGTAAAGTGATTTGCTGTTGAATTTGCACTGCTTGCCAAACATTGCAATTCGATGTGCAAATCCTTTGAAAGAGATCATATCGAAGCACGATGAAATCAACAGCAAATCACTTCATTTTAGATTGTACTGCACATCGTTGTTGATGTGCTGTGCTTTGAACTCGAAATGTAAACCATACTCATTTTAACAAACTATCACTTTAAGTTTAACTAATTTATCATTGGATTTCATGTTTGCTGAAATTGGGTTTAACCTGCAAGCCTTGTTTTATGTTATTCAGAATATGGCCAAAGATTATGTATCATATTACCAACAATCAATACGAAACTAACGATTTTAAATTGGCTCACTACTTGACTAGCCTATTGGTCCCAAGTAAATCGATTAACGTACCCCATTCTAGTTAAAATTCTAGTACTACACTATGTTTGTTTTGATTCGCTTTGAAGGTTTGACAGATAACATGAGGGGTTATTGGATTTTCCTATGTTTCGAGAGGTGATTCGGCTAGCTTGGGACCGAAGATAGTACCAGAGCTGAGCCAAAAAGTTGAGCACGTTTCTTCGGGACTACTTGTCTTAGAGTTACCTCTATGATATTACTACCCAGATCACTTGTTTCCAAGTGATATTGAACAACATTGCATAGCTTATAGTAGAAGCAAGACGACACATTGAGTAATAAATTTGATAAGTTTAACAAAGTTTTGTAATAGAAATTCTATTATACACTATTATTGAATACGTAATCAATTTCATAATACTTAGGGGTAAGAGGGGCATAGTGAAGAGGTGGGGCATAGTGAGCATCCCATGCCCCAGCTTGGTCTTCCGGCCGTTCGGTACAAATTGGTTGGCGGTAGGATCAATATCATAATAGTTGATTTGTTTCATGCAGCTGGAGATCCAGAGCCAAAGTGCGGAATGCTCACTATGCCCCTCCTGCCCCTACGCTCTAGAATGCAAATTATTTCTGGTTGAAATGAAGAATAATCGCTTCTCTCATTTGACTTTATTTGTTGTTGACTTGCCACCTGTAAGGAAGATCCTGCTAGGGTTCTCAAAAATTCCGGCTTATGCGCCAGACGAAGAAGTCGTGTCTGCCGGAAATTGCAGATATGTGTGCCCAGCTAGCAGTTTTTCTCAACCCAGCAGATTCCACCCACTAGAGTAACCCAACGGCCAAAAATCATCAACATCCCAAGTCCAATAGTCCAAGAATTCGTTCACCCAATTTTGTATTCTAATTTTATCTTCCATTTTTTTAATTAATTGAGTTCATTGTAAATACGGTGCAAGTGATACAGGTTTATTAAAATCAAGTCCAGTAAATTGAAATTCGATTTTACGAAAAAAAAACCTGGTTTTGAAAGTTTCCAAAAATCCATTTATGGTTTTCTTGTTTTAATTTTGTTGTTGTTGTTATTTTATTAACAAAATCCTGCTCTATCTCTCTCTCCTATGTGTAACGTCATTCCCTCCCCCCTTTTTGTGTTCCCTTGTGAGTCGTTCTAACTCCTAAAGGGCGAACACGAAATTATTGCGACACCGAAAATGTCATGCCAATTTTCTTATAATGTTTAGAATCAAACCAAAATTTTAAGGTAGTTTTATACATATATTTACTTCAAAAATCAAAAGAAAAGTTAATCGATGGAGCCTTGAGTGTAAAATTGAACGCATTTTCGCTTGATGCCCTCCATCAAAGTCTTTACAGTGTCATCCGGTACCAGTTTCTCAGTTTTTTTTCCATTTTCTTAACATGTCCTTCTCGTCTTTGACTGTCTTCTTGCTCTTCCGAAGTTCCCGCTTCATTATTGCCCAGTACTGCTCCACCGGGCGCAGCTCCGGACAGTTTGGCGGATTCATGTCTTTTGGAACAAAATGGACAGAATTGGCCTCATACCACTCCAAGACACTTTTAGAATAGTGGCATGATGCCAAATCTGGCCAGAATAGCGGAGCTTCGTCGTGCTGCTGCAAGAACGGCAAAAGGCGCTTCTCGAGGCACTCAGATTTGTAGATCTCGCCATTTACTGTGCCCTTTGTCACGAAAGGCTCACTCCTCAGTCCGCAAGAGCAGATGGCCTGCCAAATCAGATATTTGGAGGCGAACTTCGACATTTTCTTCTTCTTAAATTTGTCGTCCACATCGAACTTGCTCTTGCCGGTGAAAAACTCCAACTCCGGAATTTGCTTAAAATCGGATTTTATATACGTTTCGTCGTCCATCACACAGCAGCCATATTTTGTCAGCATCTTCTCGTAGAGCTTCCGTGCCCGAGTTTTAGCCGTCGATTGTTGCCGCTCATCGCGGTTTGGGAAGTTCTGTACCTTGTATGTATGTAGTCCAGCTCTCTTCTTTGCATTCTGGACGTAGCTCTGCGACATGCCGATCTTTTTAGCCAAATCACGGCTTGAGACGTTGGGATTTGCTTTAATCATCCGCTTCACCTTTCCCTCCGTCTTTTTGTTCTCCGGTCCTGGTTTTCTTCCAGCTCCTTTGCCGTGGTCCAACGTCAACCGTTCCTGGAACCGCTTCAACACTCTGGAGACGGTTGAATGGTGAATGTTCAACATTTTTCCCAACTGCCGGTGCGACAGGTCAGGAAATTCCAGGTGTTTGGAAAGAATTTGTTCTCTCAACTCGCGTTGGTTCACCTCCATTTTCGTTGAATCGAAAAACACGACTTCGAGTTTGACAGCATGTACACATCAATGAGAAAGTGTGCAAAATTTGGTTGATTTTTACCCAATGGTAAAAAAGTTATGCCCTGTTGAATGTGTCGCAATAATTTCGTGTTCGCCCTTTAGACAAGCTTTCTTCTCCTACTAAGTATAATTCAGGGTCCCTACCAGGGTTGCTTCCACTCACTTGCTATACAAAAATGATTTTCGGAATTTTTAAATCATTAGATGTTATAAATAAAAATTTTACTTGTTAGATACAAGAATATAATGAAAGGCAAGTGTTTGACACATAAAACCTATCAGTTTCGCATGCAAAGTGTCACAATCAGTGATTTTATTATTCGTGAGCGTTCACTCAGAGTGAGCGCTCACGAGTCGCAAAATCGCTAATTATGACTATCTGCAAGCAAATTTGACAGGTTTTATGTGTCAAGCACTTGCCTTTCAACTTCTTCTTGTATCTAATATGTACAAAATATCATTTTAACATCTAATGATTTCAAAATCACAAAAAACCATTTTTTATAGCAAGTGAGTGGAAGCAAGCCTGGTCCCTACTTGTTAATCGGTGTGATTGTGTGTGAGAGGAGAATGGTTCGCGTACTTACAGTTGCTGCTCAATGGTACCTGGTCGGGCCACACTCGTCCGAAGCGGGTGGCTCGTCCGTATGATGATGGCCGATGATGATCGCCCTGACCGTTGCCTAGGGGGAACCAATCTTCTCCAGGCTGGCTCGATGATGCTCGATGGTTCGGTGCCAGTTGTTCACCGCGACCATGGGTTACTTGTAGATGCAGATGCGACGGTGGGAGATCGTTTGACTACCACAATCGCCCGGGTCAGACAACGCCGTATCCTAACCTCAAAAAGGGAAACGATGAGGGAGCGTTGTAAGAGTGGCGATCAATAGCGTGCACCGGGCGGGGCGGATGTCGTCGAGTGGCGTTGACGGGCGAAACTCGCTAGATAAGGAATTTACCGTCTAGAATAGTCCCGGCGTACACTAGCTTGATGGGTGGTTTTTCTGTGGGATGGTATAGCACGGAGGGCCTCCGGTTTTCAGGACGTGAGTTGGGCGGATTACGCTGGCGTTGGCAGCCTTTCCCCTTGTGGACCTTCCCACGAAACAGGCAATCACTTTAGGCGTGTGATGCACGTGGGGCCGAGTTCTTCATCCGATGGCCAACGCTCTCCGAATGTCCTATAGTGGTACGCAACCACGAGGCGATAGGAGCACTCAGGGTAACCAAGCCTGATACCACCAACCAAGGAATCAAATTCACTCTGGGAGGTGAACCGATCGAAATACCGTCGACAATAACCCGCACCACGTTTAGCGGACGTTCCTGCCACAAGCCCAAATCGCTGTTGCCACCGCTCAGTGGCTTCTGAATTCTCTTTCTTTTTTCACTTAAATTACTCCGACTCACTTTTAGCTACCAACTTCCCTTCTATTCTTTTCATATTTTCAATATTCTAAGTTTTGTCTATCTTGATTTTAAAAATTCATCATTAGATTTTCCCTGTCATTAATCATTGACATGGGTGAAAACACAGTCACCCCACTATTATCGTCATTTCAAAACAAATAGATTCATCATTTCAAAACAAATTGAAATTCACCTATTAACCACTTCATTCGAGCACTTAAAATGACGTTTACTACCACTCG